CTGTATATAATTGTATATTATACATATACATTTGTATAAATGACAATCTAAATTGGGAGAGGGAGGAGAGAGGCAAGCGAGAGGAAATACAGTGGGAGAGAGGTGAACTGTATACGTATATAGGTTAAAATTTTTTATATTATACATATGTATTTGTATATCCTGATGAATTATACATATACAAACATGACTAATTATACAAACTCGAAGTCAGTCAACGTAATTAATGTATAATGCTATCGCCAGTGGTAATATAGAAAATTATAGCTATAATGAGTGATTAAATAATATAAGTTCGCTTAGCCGCATAACTTTTCCTATTTGTTATTGTATAAATTATAGGAACCGCATATTATAAATACAAAATGACCATTTATCCCTTTAAGAATTGAAATTACTAAAAATCCCTTAAAAAGCAAAGAACCGGGATACATCAGTCTGGCACGGGATACATAAGAACTGATACATCAAAGTTAAAGGCTGTTGCGATTAATTAGGGTTAATTAACGTGATTTCTGTTATTCTTAACTGAAATCACGTAATTAATGGTCATCAAATTATGTAACGGATTAGTAGGGATACATCACTTTGGCAAGGGATACATCACTCTGGCACGGGATACATATTAACTGATACATCATAATTAAAAGGCTGCTGCGATTAATTAGGATTAATTAACGTGATTCCTGTTATTCTTAACTGAAATCACGTAATTAATGGTCATCAGATTGTGTAACTGATTAGTAAATTCAAATTTTAAATCAGATTAGCTTCATAATTCAAAAATATTCTTGTAAAGGTTGATCTGCATACTAAGAATTAAAAAAAAAAGGTTTTGAAGATGAATATCTCAATTCTGCTGCGGCATTCTGGAATTTGGGTAAGCAATATTAATTATGAAGGTTACAAAGTTGATGGAATTGTTGTTAGCCATTCTATTTCGTTTGTGAATCTGAAAACGTTGATTTTAGCAGAGCTTAAGATCGACAATGTTACAAAGGATATTGAAATACGATACATTGTCGAGGGAAGCTCATGTCCGTTGAAAATCAAAAACGACATGGGTGTGAAACTTTATTTCGAAGTGAAAAAGAATGCAACTGGAATTGGCATGTATCCGCTTTGTATTGATACAACTGATAAAATTGTTGGGGATATACGTAATTTTGATTGTTCATCAGGTGAAGTCATATGCGTGGAAGGTACCGAAAGAGATACTGAAGCTCTTGCTCTGGTCGAGTCTAGAATTTGTGACTTTGCAGTTTAATTATGTGCCAAATTTAAACTCCAAATTTTATTAATAAATAGATTCAACAGTGGTGCGTTTTCAATGTAACAGTAATGATATAGGAGTTTGTTTGTGTATGTGATGTATCATATACATGAATATTATTGAAAAGATGTTATGTGTTCCGTGTATATTGTATTTTGAGATATTTAAGTGTACAAAAAATTGATTTGTTCAATTGTTTACTATATGATTCGTGTATACATACTTATGAGTTATAAATTTGATATATTATATTCAACAGTGTTTGGGTTTCAGTTTTACAGTAATTCAAGCTGGGCTTATTTGTAACCAGTTATGTATCAGATACATTCATTTTAGTGAAAATTTTGTTATATTTTTCGTGTATACTCCATCATGAGTTATTCTAGTGTCCCAAAACTTGACTTGTTCAAATGTGTACGACATGTTTAGTGTGTACAGCCTTATGAACTGTAATTTTGATATAGTACATTCTAGTGGTGCGTTATACTGTAATAGTAATCAAGGTTAAGTTTGTTTATGTATATGATGTATCATATACATTCATATAATTCAAGTTGCTAAATATATAACTGCAATATTTTTTCAAGTATATATTATACTTATGTATCATATACATCATTTGTATAAAGTGAAAAAAACTTAATAATGTATCATACACATTAGAACTTAAGTGTAATATACTTCAGTTTGTAAATTAGCTGTCAAAATAACTTAAAATGAAACACTAAAAAATTTGTAAAGCAACAACTGTTTCTAAAAAAATAACTTGAAAAAATATAACATTCATAACTAATAAAATATTGTAATACCAATAAGCTTTTAGAAAAACACAAAAGATAATTGTCTTCAACACAAAACAACATATAAACTTGTTCATCCTGTCCCAGCTACGTATAATAAGTTACACAGTTGATGTAACTTTTCTTGGCCTTTTTTTCTTGATTTCTTCAGTCTTCTTCTTTGGCTCATCATTGTTGTTCTTCATCAACAATGGGTCATGCAATCGCTTAGATCTATTCTCAGCCCACAGCTCATCATCAGAATCATACACACATTTGAAATTACCACACTCTTCCATGATATTTGTAAACTCACACGATGAATTGAATGAATGAGAAAATCTAGTTAGATGGAAAGATAGTCCTACAAAATAACAAATAGATATGGATGAAAATTTGAAGGGAATTCAAAATTTACCTGCAAGTGGAATGGGGAATTAAAAGTAGAAAAGGAATAAAAATTAGTAAACTCACACGATGAATAAGCTGAAGGAGAAAATTTGGTAGATGGAAAGAGAGTCCTAGAATATCAAATAGATATGGATGAAATTTTAACTGGAATTCAAAATTAACCTGCAAACGTGTGGAATGGGGAATTAAAAGTAGACAATTATACACCTACAATGTAGGGAAATAAAAAGGAAAAGGAATAAAAATTAATATGGTAAATTTTAATTGGGGATGTTAATGGGGAAGTGGGTAGCTTAAAAATAGGATTTAGTTTTTGGTAAAGTAAAACTTGCCAATTGGGTGAAAAAAAGGTGGAAAATCTTGATGTATCTTTTATATTTTTTTGAATTGGGGGAATAAGGGATTTTTGAAATTTTTAAAATAAGTTGGGATAAATGGTTATTAAGATAATTAAAGTAGTGTATTTAAGTAATTTTTCGTTTGTTATTTGGCAAAATATCGGTAACTAACCATGAATGATTTAGAACGAACTACGGCCCAATACTCTTGAAAAAGCCCAACCTGTTTCCTTTTGTTTTTTGACTCGCGATCATATTCATACCAGTAGAAATTATGAGATTACCAACTAGATTTGTTTTTAATGAAAATACACTAATGAAATAATTATCTTTTACAAGTATATTTATATTCACTAATCAATAGAAGACCTAGTCAATATGTTATAATTTGGACATGAATAAGTTAAATTGCATTTTGGATTTAAATAGCAATTTTGGACTTAAATATAAAGGAAATTAGAAAATTTTACAATTCACCAAAATTAGAAATGACGTTTTCACCGTGGACTTTTTGCTTTCCAAGCTTTTACAATCTGCTTGAACAACTTTGACTCGAAACTAGTCTGTCAATTTTAGCTTTTGGCGACGATGTTAAAATCAAAATAATTTGTGATCTATACAATTTTCATGAGTAAAAGTTATTAGTCTGGAACTTTTGGGCAAAATACCCTTGAAAATAATTGTGACATGCTGGGAATTAAGTCATAGTAATATTAATTACAACTAGGAAAATTGTTTCTCTTAACACTCTATTGGGTTGAAGTTATTAGTAAAAATGTATTTATCTTTCAATAATGAACTGAAAACCCCAAAAATATTTGTGCATAAGTTGAAAATGCATCAAACAATTAACCGATGAGAAATTTACATTGGAATACATAGGCAGCAAATCACATTCTCTTCTTTATATTTTGATTATGTTCTTAAAAATACATTATCATATATTATATTGAAAACATCAGCAAAATCTGAATAAATCGAAGAAAATAACAAAATCTACTATAACCAAAGTTATTAAAAAAACAGACTTAATTGATTGATAATTATTTAAACAAAAAAATCAATCCTTTTGGTTTTAAATTCGTTATTACCATCTGGCGTCCTTCAAATTCTTTGGCAACTTGACCATTTTATATTCTATATTTATGGTAATACTACTTTACCATTTATATTACCAAAAAAAAATAAAAAATAAAAATTTGTTGTTAGGGCAAGACTCCGCAGACTGGGTCGGATAAACCCCTCAAGAACCCCGGAATCGCCGCCGCCTGTCACATGACTTCTCCAATTGTCGAAATCAAAGGAGACATTGACACGGACGACCTCAATCCGTTCACTATGATTCTCCCACAAGATGGCCATGACAATGACGCCTCTCCGCAGCAGCAAAAACAGCAACTCCATTTCCTCCAATCCATTAACTCAAACGTAGTCATCAGACAACTTCCATCTGAAGGCCTTTCTTTCCAACTCTGGCCTGCCGCTACTATTCTCGTCACTCTCCTTGATAACACTCGTAACGGCGAATCAACTCCGTTTTCCGATTTGTTCAAACGTCAGGAAAAAGGGGTTTCGCTACCCCTTCGTATTCTCGAACTGGGTTCAGGAACAGGTGTTGTTGGGATAGCTGCTGCTGCTATTCTTGGTGCTAAGGTTACTGTCACTGACCTTCCTCATGTGCTGCCTAATATACAGTTCAATGTTGATGCAAACTCACAAGTTTTGGAACAACAGAGTGGGGGTGTTGATGTTGCGGCGCTTAGCTGGGGGGATAACCAGCATATGGAGGCTGTTGGTAGAGATTATGACCTGATTTTGGGATCTGATGTGGTGTACCATGATCACCTCTATGATCCTCTGATTAACACGTTGAGGTTCTTCCTGTTAGGAGGTGGAAAGAAGATAGCTTTTGTTATGGCTCATTTGAGAAGATGGAAGAAGGAATCTGCTTTCTTCAAGAGAGCCAAGAAGCTTTTTGATGTCCAAATCATACATACCGAGCCTCCGCCCGATGGGTCTAGGATTGGGGTGGTTGTATACCTTTTCACCGGGAAAAGATAGCCACTATAGTCAATCAAGGCTAGATGTTGGTGGGATGTCAGTCTGAATCTTATTGTCATGTCATGTATAACAATGGGGATGGGGTTAGCCCAACAAAGAAGTAAAAAACTACTGTATTTGCTTTACGTGGAAATACAATCAACAAAGAAAGTTGTGTATTATTGCATTTTAATTGAACATTCACAACCTTGAGTTGTAACAAAACTCTACTCAAAATTAAGTTATAAACACCTCAAGTTAAGAGCTCTCATCCATTTTAATACAGAAAAAATACACAACATCAAATCAATTGTATTCGCTTCTACATTGGCCATAATCTGCAAAAAAAATGTGTATAACTTGTTACTTCTTGAGGAGCACTGTCATTCTAGGCTTGCACACTTGTACCATTTGCAACCCATTGCAGCCCTTGTGACTTGAGAGCAGAAGTGTCTTACTTTCAGGATAAATGGCAACTTAAAACTGAGCTGCAGAACATGTTAAATGGTGCTAGCATGAAGAAATGGGATCAATGCCACCAATAGCAACCCAAAACATTCAGTTAATCCCAAATCCAACTTCTCATTATCATCTTTTCCTCAACTGAGAGCCTCTTCCAACTGCCTTCATATTCTGTGAATCTCTAAAGCAGACAAAGTGCACAATTGTCTTACCATTAGGATAGACTGCAAAGACACTGGTGCCAATCCTCTTATTGCAAAGAGAGCACATGCTATCGCTTGTGATCTTCAAAACTGCTTTTCTTTGGTTATACAGTTCATCTTTAACCTGTTTCGTTCACAGCTTTAAAATGAGGGGCAACAAATACTAGACCGCAGCTTTAGTAAAACAATCCAGTCATAGAAATTAAAAGTATACTCAAACAGTTGAATAGCAATGATGAAATTGGCAGTTGCCATAAAACAGAAGGAAAGAAAAAAGAAAAAAAGATGTGAAACGCCCATGCCCTGCTCATGCCAGTAAAAAATATCAATGTACTCTACATTGATATAACAAGCCCCCCTAAGCCTTGCTGGGGAACAAAATAACAGGTAAAATGATGCCAGCAAACCCAAATGACCACATATAAACTGTTGTATGCATCAGAATGACCAGTTTTTTTCTCGAAAACTGTTCTTAGGGCAGGTTCCACGTGGGGTAGGATATCGAAGGTTCCTTCAGAGCATTTTGGATATGGAATCTGTATGTGACAATAGTAGAACTTACCTGTAGGTTTTCACACTCTCTCAAGCTTTTTATCACTGAGAAGTTCCGATATGCTTCACTGGATTTCCTCAGAAGAGGTCCAAGAAATGGAAGCAAGTTCTGCATGAAGCCAAAATGGATCAGCACAATACTATAACATCAAGATGTGAAACATTCATTCCATGCACAGACAAAGCTAGATGTAATGATTCTGCAGTTTCACTATGTACGAAAGGATGTTCACGCGAAAAAATAAACAATGTTATATGTACTATCCCACTATGGTTGTATGTGAATATTCAGAAAACTATGTCGGGTCTACTACCTTAGCTTCTCATAACTTGATATCTACCAGTGCATAGTGAGTAACATTCGATAGTATTTTACTAGGCATAGTTGTTTCAAACAGATGATTTGATATACTCGACAATTTGAAAGACAGATTGATCAAATTTCAATCTGTGACCTATAGGTAAAGTTGTCTCCGCATGAACGATAGGTCATATGTGAGTTGGGGAAGTAGGTTGTCTACATCACACCCCTCAGGGTGCGGCCCTTCCCCATACCCTGCGTGAACGCCAAATGTTTTGTGCATTGAGTTCCCTTTATTGATCAAACCTCATCTTGCATCTTCCTTAATGTGTATTATCTCAAAGTCAATACTTAGAGATAATATAGTTGGAAACATCTAACATGCAGTTACGGACCATGACTAATCTAACACTCACACATAGAACTTTAGGACATATTAACATGTTTAGTACTCAGATGCAGAGAGTACAATCACTCTTGAACATATATCTTAGCTTGTGTTCTGTGAGTTTTCATTTTTAGCTTTTGGGTATGGGGAGGTGGTTGTGCCATGATGGTTTAGAGGAGCCTGTCTCTGGGTTCTTTTGTGAGAGAAAGAAAATCACTTCTGTACACAAGGAGTGATGCTTGTTTACTTCAGTCTGTTTTGATTAAATAATGACCAACTTCCTTATCTAGCTTATGTATACCATCACATTTTGATGTTTCTTTTACCTGTAGCTTAGTATCCCTTGGAAGCAGTTTCAGCGCTTGGGCACCATGGATTCGATCCCACCTTCTGCTCAAAAGATCAAGTACCTGATCTAGCATAATAGTAGAACCACCTTCCTCGGCAGCATCTTCTGTATCTCCATCACTCCTACCACTGTCTGTGCCGCTTAGACTGAATCGAGTGTCCTCAGCGCCCCCAATTTCAGCAATTTTCTTGGAGCGGCCTCCTTTTACCTTTCCTGTAGTTCCTAAACCAACTTTTGGAATCCTAGGGCTCTGAGCTGATACCAGATTAGTAATTTTCTTCTCAAATTTTTTTGTTGTCTTCCTAGGATTTAGATAGATTTGCAGTAGAGTCAGGTAAATGTTTCCGTAAGATTTTGCTGAATGTTGTTGAAGTCCTGAATCGTACACCCGGTCACAATAGGACAGTGCAAGTTCGGGAGCATGAAGCTACAAATCAAAGAGAGAAATTCAATTCAGTATGAAAAAACCCACAATTTAAGCTTATAAAATGCAACACAGAGACAACTGAAAAGACTTCAATGTCCATCAAATTCATAAAATTAGACATGTATTAATGACAAAAAGATTACATATCCAATATCCCGACTTGGGAATGCATACTAGCCCAACAACATACAGAGAAAGAAAGGGTCGATGCAAAATCCAATGATGTAATTAAACTATGAGAAGGTTAACATGTCTGACGAACAGGTACACTAACTAAAAGAAGAGTGAAATGATTGCACTATTGAGATGACTGCTACATTAGTCAACCGATCTAACAGCAAATGTGAAGTTCACAATATAAGTCTGTTATAATGCTTATGATGGAGAACTTGCACAGTTTTAGATTTTTGCATACCTTAAATACCCTCGAAAGCACCAATGCATTAGATAAAAGCCAATCCTAAAATATCATGTGCAGTTAAGGTGGAAAAATACCTTGTGCACATAAATAGACAGGGCAAGTTCATGTTTATTCATTTTCCCCAAAAGAATTGCACGTTCTTCATACAGAGCATCTGGTGGAAGTCTCTTCAGCAACACCTCTGGAGTATATCCAGACATACCCTCCAAAGCAGACAGTAGCTTTTTCCTTGGTGGAGGACATGTTTTCTCATCCCACTTTTGCTGTGAATTATGTTCAGCATGAAAATCAAGCACTTCTGAGAGATAAATTTGCACCTGCCACAAGTTGCTAAGCGAATTTATCATAATCACATAAACACTCAACATTTTGTCAGACGCATGGATTGAAGCACAAAAGACTGTTGAGCGGACTCTCCAAAAATGTTACTCCAACTGTGTTCGATCCTCCAAAAATACACTACTTTTGGAGGATCCAACACGCACCCATTTTGAAGAGTCCGAGCAAAATCTTTATCCCTGAGAAACAGTAGGAGGCAAGATAATTGTTCCTAAATTTTGTCACTCAGGGTTTCTCAAAGATTTGAGTTCAAAGAAGCCTAAACATGTGAGCTTCATTAGACATATGCCCATATCACGAGGAGAACTATAAGCCTCAGCTTTCTGGCTTCACTTGAAGCAATGTTGCTTTAATGGTTTTTATGAAATAAAAGGTACAAAAGGGGAAAGACAGAGAGAAGCTACATAAAACCAGACAGATGGACAAGTGCCTCTACCATTTCATTCTGCAGATTCCCTGAGATACTATTTTCATTCATGGCAAGCATGAGTTCTAGATATGTTGCCTGCATGTCTGGAGCATGCTGCTTTAAGTAAGAATTCACCAAGTCTGCTGGAATGTTACCAGACAAAAATAGCTCAATGGTTTGCATCGGACAGCTTTCAAGAACAGGCAATGAGAACTCCAGGACAAGCATGGGGTCAGTTGCACAAAGGGGCTGCCCAAAAAAGAAAAAATAATCAGATAACTGTTTTGGCGAAGCATTGTTCCATAAAATACTTAAAGAGAGATTCATTCCCTGTGCTAAGCATAAATGAAGTGTGTAAAGAAAAGAAAAGGAAACTATAAAAATTCCAGAAACTTGCTTGTATAAAAGATAAGAAATTAGTGGGTCAAATGGATATGGACCCAAAACTCAAACTACCTGCCAAATCTCTGATAGCTGATCCAAAAACTTTACAAGCTTCCACATCTTTCAAGCAATTAAAAACCCAAAGTAAAGAAAATAAAAGCAGAGAAAGAAGCATACTTTGAGATATTCAATGATCATATCAGGCTTGAACTTCGTTAAGAGCTCTACAGGAGTTTGCTCTGACTTGGACTCTTCTACCAGTTGATGAAGAAGTTTCAGTGCTTCATGATGCATTGAATTGCATCTATAAAGTTCTACCTGACAAGCATACTGGCTTCTCTCTTGCAGGAACGCATCGCATATTTTCACATCACAGTAGTTGAGGACTTTCAGAAAATTTGTAGCAGCAGAGGACTGTCCAGTTAAAAACAGAGCTTGAAGAAGTGCAGTGTCCAGTATTGCAGCCATGTCCCTAGCGATGGAAGTGATAGGAATATGAATTCTGCCCTAAATGGATCAAAGAAAAACACATTTTAGATTTAAATTAGGCAAGTAATACAGCTAAGTAGAAATTATCCAAGTACTAACAGCTCTTTGAGGCGTAAGTGGTTTCTCCCTTCAGTAGGCTCACTAGAATAAGCCAGTACTTTTGCATATGGAAGAATCAGAACTTACCTACCTGACATCAGACTTTTGGAAGATACAAATGAAACAGTATTTTTCAGAAGGCTATAAATGATCGATGACTTGAATAATCCATCAAATTCATAAATGATCAAACACATGCAGCCAGAAAGGTATTTATGCTTTGATGCAAAGAAAGGTACATGTTAAACAGCTCAATATAATGCGCGCTGCCAACTGCATATCTTTGGGATTTCTAGAAAGCTTTGCTGAAAATACTAAATACATTGCTAGTCACAGTTATCAAGAAGAGATATGCTTAATGTCAAAACTTTGACTTCCAATTGAGAACTTATTCAACAAAAAAGATTTCCCCGAAAAGCTGTTTATGGAAGGCACAAGACACATTGAAAAGTTACCTTGGTTGGTTTTTTGGACCGGTCAGTTCCATAAGAAATGAAATTATCTCCAACAGCATCTGAAACCACTTCTTCAGTTCCCTCAGTTGTTGCTTTCTCAATGACACTGTATCTCTTTTTCTGCAAATACTTAATCAGAGCCATCAAAGTGTTGTGGCTCATTTTCTTGGACTCTATATCCATTTCATCAGATTCAAATACATCCGAAGACGGAGAATCTAGATCATCTGACAGACCAGAAGAGCCTCGGGAGAGATATGGTGCATCTGCAACATCTGCAAATTTCTGTGGTTCAGGTATGCAAGATGATTTTGGAACAATAATGGATGGATATAAGGCGAGCACATAAGTGATTTCAACTTGAGATGCCAGAAAATGTTCCATTGCTTCTTCATAGCTCCCATTTTCAAATAGAAAGTGCGCATATCTGAATCAAAGATTTATTATCAATCTTCATGTATATTAGTTTCACATTTCGTTTCATTCCTTCTTTCCCAAAAAAAAACAAACTATATGAGCTAAAACTACAAAAAATGGAAAGAACAATAAAAGAGAAGAACCAAGTTGTATTTAGTAACTTCTTGCCAAGCAATGTTCATATTTCAATTTTTTCCCACAACAATGGTGTAAATGACAGATTGTTCAAACCTCGAATAATCCGTGTTACCTTCTACCTCCCACAAGCACACGTACTGGTTGACCCTGCCCACCAAGGTATAGCAGGATTAGAAGTAATCACCTATATTTTTTCGCCTTTGCTGAAATTCTAGCCCTGGTCTCCCAGGGCCTTTTCAATTACATTAGCCTCTAGGCCTCACCCTTGGGTGTTGTTCTTATTTCATCTTTCCTGGGAAAAAGAAACTGACTAGAAAATCGAGCCAGGACAGTTTCCTGGTCAAGCCAGTATGCTGTCAGTCTTACTACTCATGCGTACTACACTGGATGAAGTAAAACTTTAAGCAAACATAACACCTCAAATAAGTTTATGGTGCTAATACCCTATACATTGTTCCTATCCAAAGAAATAAATGTACATTATCAATAATTTCACATTTTGGTTGAAGCCTACATTTTATCAAAGATGTTTCCAAGTTTTCTACAAGAATTAATTTCCATATAGCCTCTATATAATCTAATCTTTATCAAGATATGTGACATACTTTGTTAGAACCCACATTATCAAAGCCATTAACAAGCCAAAACTTTCCGAGTTGAGGATTTCAAAAGCACTCTAGAAGAAAGAACAAATCCCTAGTTATAAAGAATATCAACTACAGATGTTTCCACAAATTTTTGGCCGATTCTTGATCTAAAAGTTTTAAATTAAGACTTCACAGCTACATTGATATCAGCCTCGAAATGGACCCATATCAATTTATAACTTGTGCTAGATATAAACACGTATACACCATAACATCATATACTAAAAGATGCAATTTCAATAGATTTGACATAACAGGAGACTATTGCCATTGAACTGCAACGTTAACACATAATATTTGGTTAAATCACGCACCCACCCCCCACCCCAGGCAGGAGGTTCAATGTAACCATGACTTCAATGAGATATATTTTTGTTTGGTTCAGGTAAAAATTAACTTTCATTAATATAATTATATAAACAAGAAGGTGCTGAAAATGATCTAAGTGAGATGCTGTTGCTATTGACTTACAACTTAGCACAAAGTTAGTGCAGAAGAGGGGCGGTGGGGACAAGGGAAGGGGGCAATCACCTCATATGAATTGACTGCTCCTTTGAAGATCTAAGACTGGAATCTTCTGGTGGTAGCAATTTGCACAAAGCCAAGGCCTCCTCAAAGTTTCCAGATGCTGTTAGTTGTACAATCTGCATCATGGAGAAAAGTTGGAATCACACTCTCAAAGTTAACTCAGTGAGTAATGGGTCTTCCCCCGACTTTTGTACCTGTGAAGTGCGTCAAGGAATTCTTTTACATGCTGTTGAATTTAGGGATCCTTTACTAAGATCTGTTGGTAACAGGTTCAAGGTGCATGGCCTAACAGGTTCCACATACCCTGATCCAAACTCAATAATTCAGACCTTAAGTTCTTTTGGCCAACTGGTAGATCAAGTCCAAGAAGCAAGGTATGAGCCTGAACCCAGGTCTCACTGCTACAAATCTTGATTAACAAGTGATGGTATAATTGCCTTCATATCTCGATTAACTAGCCAGAGGTGCAGTCCATGAACAAGAGTGGCTCTACCACTCCTCAGTTCACAAAGCACAATATAAGCACGAGATTACAAGCAAAACCCCATATTTCTCCATCTTTGTTATGACATTATTGCAAGGAGTGGAAATTGAGTCCCTCATCAATTAAATGGGAAACTGATGTGGGGCTTATATAGCCTTGCTCTCCCCACCTTAATAGCTAGCTATTGAGGTGTGATTCTCCTAAGGTTGTATCAATGGTATCAGAGCCACCCTATGTGGGGCTTATATAGCCTTGGGCTCTCCCACCTTAATAGCTAGCTTTTGGTGCTAAGGTTGTGTCAATCTTTCTTCTACCTTGGTCAACACCTAGAAGTTTTTGGTCAACACTCACTTAGGCATCAGAACTCGGCTCTATGGGGCCACCTGGAATCGTAGTGAGTTCTACAAGTTGAAGGCTAAAGATGGTGGTACTTGAGTTGAACAGTAGATGGGCCTAGGATCCATAATAGTAATCCAAGAGTCTACATTCCAAACCTTAAAGTACAAGGTTCAACATACTGTTTTGATCACTAACATTCTTCAATCTCCAATATCCATCACCTCAGCTAAACACCGATATTTATTGACTGAGGGCACTTCAGTTACGGTAAATCATAAAGACAAAATACACTGGTACTAGAATACACCCCCATCTGACGTATATTACACAGTTCACTTTGGATGACTTCCCAAATTAAACTTTCGAGTCTAAACTATATTGCAGTCTTATATTTTCCAATCAAACCAGCCGTTCACATGAACTCCAATATTTAACTTGATCTTTTTCACCACATGAATGTGATATACAATTCAAACAAATTTCTTAGTTTGCACTCCTAGTCAAACCACATAATATTCAAAGAGATGAGGCAGCATAAGAATTTGGACAATGTGCTACATTTGCTCTTTTATATACAATGAAGAAAACTTTGAGGATATAGATTCTATGGATATATTATAACTTCGGGGTGGCCCAGTGGTTTGAGCTTGGGACATCCATGTTAGAGGTCTCAAGTTCGAAACCCCTTGCCAGCGAAAGCAAGGGGTTTGCCTTCTGGGTCGAGCTCGTCGCACCAGGCTTGCCTTGTGCTGGTTACCTCTCCTATGTGGTTTGCGAGCTATTGCATAGGAGCGGGGTTTTACCCTGTGCGCACCCAAAAGGGTAGCGGCTGCGGGTTTCCCTTGTCGTCAAAAAAAAAAAGGAATATTCTCCAGTGCAATATTTATTTTCACGATTTTCTCCATAAAACTCTAGAATAAAATGATCCTTTTTTGATACCTGAAGTAAGAAGATGAATTATTTGGCTCATGAGGTCTTATAAGTAAAACTCATAATCATAATCATTACAACTTGCAACATAGATTTCTTTTGCAGGACTTAGACTTTCTGTTTGAGTGTCTAAGGCATTCTCAGATTAGTTTCATGACAAACTTGAGTCCGTCCAAAATGAGTCCTTCAAATAGACAATACATAAATGTGCTACAGTTTTAATACTGGATTAGAAGCGTAAGCAATATACTTCAACATAATATGACAGAAATTTTTCTAGAGTGACAATTACCTGCGCACCAAGAGGTACAGCAAAAAATCCAAAAACAGAATAATCAAGAGCAACAATCACAGTATTGTTGCTTTGAACAAGATGACGAACATTCCGAAGGACAACTGTTTGAATCAAAGGATAAGGTACACGAAGAGAACGTATCTGCAATTTTCCAAAACATCAAACTGCATTGTCATTCCAGATTATTAGATCTAAGGAGATTCGGTTAAATGAACAAAATGTACAGAAAAGCAAACTAAATACTCAAGCTAAGCTACCTCAACATGTCGCCCCAAAAGACCTATTGCATACGGCTTCTGGATAATAACAGCTGCAGGAGCCTCAGACCAACAAATCCTCCCTTCTTGGATCAACTTCCCGTTTTGGTTAACTAAGATACCAATATTATCCTGCAACAACAATACTTAACAGCGATTAAACTGCAAAAGGGCAACCCGAACCAACCGGTACTGGTTCAGTATGCATAAAAAGCTGGACAGATAATTTTCAAAGATTAGGAATTTACTCGAGAGAAGTGAAAGATGATCCACAAGGGCTTCATCAGCTAAGTCATAGAAAGAAAGCTATAGATTCTATGGAATCATATATCATCCAAGGAATGAGGATCAAAGGTGAATCACATGAATTTTAAAATTCTGAAGTAAAAGTATGTTTCCCCTGCTCTATGGATACATCGGAGCTCTGGTATGTGGAATTTGAGAAGAAACAACACATAGGGAAGATGGCCCACCTCAGTCAACCAGGCCATAGTGTTGTGTGCAAGTGTGGAAAAGAACTACAATGTCAATCAACTCAATGTAATAATGACAGCGATAGGCTTTAGAAGACCATTGAATGACTGGGAAGTAAATAAAATAGCTGAATCTCTCAGAAGTTTGGAGCATTTTCCAGGTAATAGAGCCACTTAAGACAGCCAATGGCCGTGGAAGCATATCTAGGAAGTGAAGATACCTTGTAGGGTGGCATTTTTCTGGCTAGCTGCAAAAGAATCATGCTTGACTCAAGACAACTTGATGGAAAACAGGTTGAAGTTGTGTTCAACATGTGTTTTGTGTGGGAAGGATAGGAGTTGACCAGCTTTGGCAAGATGAACTACCTGCTCTTAGGTTCACTTTTGGTGTAAGGTTAAATTCCTAGATGATGCTGAATCTTTGATAGATATAGTAGAATCCCTCTAAGAAGAGTAAGGAGATATCTTTCCTTCTTTGGAAATGTAAATATGATTCCTGCATAACCTCTGTACCAATGATATATAATATTGTTACCTTTCTACAAGAAATAACCAACATTACCTTGCCCAAAAGTAGTTCTCCGGGTGGAAGAGCCACCACAAGAGGTGCGGCGATCCTCCCTGAAGAGAACACCTCAGACAATACACCATTAGTGGTATTCAATATCTTGTACTCTCTTCTAATCCCCAAGCAAATATTCTCACCACACCATGACATCGACTTAACTGTGTCAGGTACTCCAAATTCTTTCACCTCCACAAATCCACTCCCCCCTATAGAAGTTCCAAATAAAAATCAGGTTACAGCAATAGAGTTCTTATATCATTAGACAAATACGATCATCAGTATCCAAACTGCTTTAGGCAACAAACCTGATAATCAAAGGAAAAAGAAATTACAGGCCTTTATGATACTTGTGTTAAACTAAATGTAGTGAACCAAAAACTATACTCCCCTGTCCCAATTTATGTAACACTCGGCTATTTTCGGATGTCACAAAATGTTTGAACCATTCTGTTTCTATACAACTTCCAAAAATTCAAATCATTAAATTATTCAATTATTTTGGGCATTATCTTATGTTTTTTACATCAAACAATCTTTCCAGCGATTATTATAACATATATAATATCTCTACGTCCACTTGATAGTGGGAAAGCACAGTTCTACATTATGTTTGTAACATCATTAAATGATTGATCAGCCCATAGAGAAAAGTAGTTCCTTTTTCCTTTCACATATGGCAGAGACTGATCTAGTACACATGCACGAAACCGCATTGCCGTGACAATAATATAAAATTTTCAATTAACAATACAACAATTAAATTACATTCAAGTCATTACCGTCGTGTTTGTAAATACAGACTCTTTTTTGCCTGCCGAAGCAAAGTAACCCTCGTTTATCATCCCACGAATATACATTTGCACCTTTAGCCTTAGTAATCACTGATAAAGTCTCCAAATCAGGCAATCGATGTAACGCAATTGACTCGGAGAGGGAAAGCAGAAGTTCTCGTGAGACGAGGACTTCCATGGCCAGCATTTGTCTTCTGGAGAATCCATTCAGAGTTCTTTCAAGCACATATGGTCCTTGATGAAGCCCTAAGGTTTCGGAATGGAAATCAGATTGATCGGAAACTGAGGATTCTGGAACGTAAACACGGAGCGATCCATCGGAACATGCGATGAGCAAATTTGAGCGGTATGATTCAATGGCATCGATTTTGGAGGGAGAATTATTGAGGAGTTGGAAGGTATCGTAGGCAGTGTGCACCATCTTTCTTCTTCCCTGATTGATTTGGGTAGCATGTCAAAATAACCTCTCTGTTCCACAATCTACATGCGTATTATTAGCATGTTAATGCTTTGTCCCGCTCTTTTGGGAATTTGTTCATAAACTTTGCCTATTTTCCACACTCCTCCCTTCCTTTTTTACTTTGTTTATTGGGTTTTTATTTGATATTAAAATATTTTGATTTGCGTTCAGATTGAAACTAGAAAAGCTATAAAAAAAAAAATAGATTTAACAACAAATAGATTGAAATGAAGAGAGTAATAACTATTTAGTTTTTTTTACATTCTTTTTTTTATGGGGTTTTAATGGGTACAGACTAGTTGGTTATTTTTAAAAAATTACACCATTTCAAATGTTTGGTATTTTATAATATATAATTAAAATTAATTTTTTTAAAATCATCCCAATCATATCGATTTCTTTTCAATATTGGTACAATTCATTTATAATTAAAAAAAAATAACTTTTAAAGAGTCACCACAAAATATACTATTATTAAAATACTTCTTTGTAGGTAAGTTTTTGAAGAAGCACTTAACTTCTTCATCAAGATGCCAAGAATGTAAAACTTTGTTACCATATTGTTTAATCTTAAACATTTAATCTGTGTTCTTGAATAGATTTTGAATAGATTTTGCCGTATTATTTGATGAAATATTTATTATAATATCTAGGGCCTAGGTTATATTTATATATTAAATTTAACATGTTATTAATATACAAAATAGTAAAACGATTTGGTTTGAAATTTTTTTATTTTTTTTATATATTAAAAAGACCCTCTTAATTAATCAAAACAATTATACACTTAAATAAAAGTTCGCAATTTTAATAAGAAAAGTGATATAACAATTTAATTAGATTTAGTTCTTCTTCATATTCTTTTGACAACTTAATTAGAGGCAACACATATTCTTTTGACAACCTAATTGCCAAACCAAAAAAAATACATCCATCTCACTTGTAAAGTTTTAATTCTAATAGTTTTTCTTTGAAACACCAAAACTAAAAAGTGTATCACTCATCTTTCACTATGATGGCTATGTTGTCTTGAAAAGCGTTTGAAATACTTCTTCTTTAGACTTCTCTTGACTATAATAAATACAACATATTTTTCATAAAACCAAGGTACGATTACGGTCAACTTATCCGAATCCTCAATTTAATCTGTACAAGTACAAAAATCATCGTAAAATTCATACTTCTACCATCTCCCTCTTGCAATGTACCCGTAGGTTTCTGTGGATTACATCAAACAATTGTTAGTGGCTCAATTGGTTAAAATTGAAATAAAAGAAAATACATGCAGTTCTCTTTTTTCTTCTTTTTCTCGAATTATAAAATGAATTTCTCAATACAATTACAAATACAAGTGATTGTTGGCTCTTCGACAAGAGACTACACATGTACAAAAGTTGTGCTGCAAAATTTGAAGAGCTCCCTACCGGCCGGTAACCTTGATAACAATACCCATAGTGTACATTCTTTTGAACATTTCAATTATCACGCCTTTCGGGCCTTGACAACATGAATACTTCTCACAAGGCCTTTCCCAACCTCGCCTATGGTTTTTAGCGTATTCAAAAGATCTGTGCTCTCCTCCGCGGAGTCATCATGCTTCCGTTTCTGGAGAACAGACCACAATTACAATCTTGTTACTAAACCATCATTGTTACTTCAATACAACTAGAAAGCATACCTGTGAACTTGCTTTTCCTAGTGTAAGACCAAGAGCATCACCACCCACAGCATCGTACCAAACCTTGACCACATCGGGAAATCCTTTCTGCATCACATATGGGCAAGAAGAAATGGGTCACATATGGGCAAGAAGAAATGGGTGATCCTCAGAATCACAGGAACGATGGGATTCAAGGGATTGAATAACTGACTAGCACCTCAGTGGAAAAAATATCAGCAAATGTAAGTACTTGCCTCGATATCGGCAATAAAGCACCTTACTGGATCAAAATTCACCATCAGCTTACTTTTCAGTTCCCCAGAGTTCACTTTGAAGTCTCGAGGAGAAAAGAAAGGATGGAAAATCTTGGATGCATGCCCACGCACCACACATCGCTCTAGAAAAAAAAATGGAAGTGTTTCAGACTCTTAATTAGTACAGGAGTTTCAATGCTTAATGGGTGAAAATGGGGGAGGAAATAGAGGTAGATATCATGTGGAAACAAATGCAATTACAAAGTAAGATGAGAAAAAGAACCTTGTTCAAGTTCGGATGGAAAGAGAAGATGCTGGGGGTAGGGCAATTTATCTCTGTGGAGAAGAACAACAGCATCATAGTTGCTCAGAGGCGTGCGGAGAAGACACTGCAGGATAAACATCAACAGCACTATGAATGACACGTCGTAGCAAACAAGTTCACAGATACTGGAAAATTGATGTTTTTACATACTTTCCATCCATAAGAATCATATCCATCTTGCGTAATCAGTTTGGTCAACAAATTCGCACTGCTAGTTGAATAAGCCACCAGTCGTCTTAGCTCCTAGTACACATCGGTACCCACATTAATGCCAGAAAAAAAGCCATGACAATCGTGAAAACTTATCAACAAAACAATCATGAGAGGAGTTTGTTCTCAAGACCATGAACGACAATATTTCCTAAAAACTAGTATACATGCACAGATTGTGTTACACTACAGGCCCTGGTTCCATAGAAGGTTTAAATGCTTTATCTTATTGTTTGATTTCTTCATATTGTGATATCTCATTATCCATAAGACAACAATATTTATCCTTTTCGGTAGTCATGTCCCAAGCTAAACTTCCCCGATTGACTTTATGAAGACTTTGAGATGCGAGGGATAACCTAATGGTAAGAACCCTCCACCTCCAACCATAAGGTTGAGGAATCGAGCCAACAAGAGAGATAAGGAGGAATAGGATCAATATGGAGCTCCTTGGTGGGTTTGACAACAGGTTTACCATAAAAAAAAAAAATTCTTAAGAGAATTACTTCTAGCTACTTTTCTTAATCTAGGAATATAAAAGAGAAAAGGATGCACAAGAAGTGGAAACGTGGATCTGGTGTAATTTTGTGTTGTATATATGTTTGATAAGCATCCTATGCACATGTTTAGCCAAAGTGTGAAGTTGTAACATCACTGGTCCAAATATGTACAGGACAGATCATGGTTACCATCATATGAAATACTTCTCCTTTCTCCTAAATGATTCAACCACAAACAATATTGACAAAGCATGTGGTTTGCATATAGTAATTAAGAATTACTTTTGTTGTGAGTATGTATATGGTAGTAAGGCAGCTGCAAAAAGTAGTCTGCAGATGGAAACTAAGATTAACATGAGCCTCTCCAGAGGCCACTTTTCTACAAATGAAACCTTGGTCATACATTCTAGGGACAATGGTCTTAAGTTGACATCTAATCTACAGTGTTTTCTAAACATGTGCTAACTATTTGGGTGCAATATATATACATTAGGAAGCAAAACACTATGTTTCTTCACTTAGGGGTCATTTGGTAGAATGTAATAGCAAAAATAATGCATGCATTAGCTAATGTGTATTAGTAGGCCCTTGTTTGAGCATTTTTTCATGCTATATATAACTAATGTAAGCATTAGTTACACACTCTATTGTGTATTGACTATTGAGGAGTGTATTACTAATACCATGAATTTCTAGGTATTAGCAATGCAAAAAATTTAATAATGACTCAATTACCCCTCAAAAAGCACTTTTTACATTTTTTCCATCATAATTGTGAAGGATACTCTTGTAAACATAGATTTTTATACAATGCATACCACTTTTAACACACCAAACCAAACAATGCATAAGAAATAATCTATGCATAACCAATGCAAGTAAAACTATTGCTAGCATTACTAATACACTCTATTGAGCATTATTTTTATACTCTCTACCAAACAACCCCTTAATTCTGTAAAAGCATAAGAATATGCTTAGGTGAACAAGATTCCATAAAATACAGGAGAAGATTTAATACAAGTGTTCAATCATTGAGGAACACTTACTGCTGTAGTTGGTGAGGATCTTGTCCAAGCTTCAGATGCAACGTCATATTTAGTAGCTAAAAACATTGCAGGACTTGATTTCTGTGTGTCCTTTTCATGCTCTTCTCTACTTCTCATGAAATTCTCCTGTCAAATTTCATATGCAAATAGTATTCTGAATTATAAAAAAATATACATGGAAAAACAAGATAAGAGCATGGAACACCCTCCAAAGATGGATCATTTGGCTTGGTACTTACATTAATTTTATTTTTCTCCTCAGTTGAAAAGTCACCATCAAAATCAACGATTAAGGGAGAAAAGGCCCAATCATATTCCGATAATAATCGTAAGAACCTGTTTAAGATACAGAATATAAGAAAAAGTGACCAACTAACAGAGTTTATAACTAAATTTGAAACCGAAAGCACCATTTCAGATTTCATCCATTTCTTACCTCAAAAACAACAAAGAACATAAAAGGACGGGGGAATTTAAAAGGGGAAAAAACAAGCATGAAAAAAGAACACAGCTATTAGAGCTCAAACGTTGGTTTGCAGGACACTATATCAATTGACTGCTCACGAGTATGTTTTGACGTGATTACAGACGTCAGTAACTTTTGTCTTATGTAGATCTTCTAGCCTACACGGGTATAACTACCAGGGAGAAGTACTGCACTTCCACCCTAGATTTTCTGTTCTTTTGAGGAATCTGCTGCTCTTTGATATAGATGCACAAGCTGTCATGTAGAACTGATAAATTTATAAAGGTACAAGCAAACTTCTTATTTAAGTTGAGTCCTTTACTTTTTATAATTAGCTTCAAGCCCCAATATCATATTGGAACTTTTAAATACAAAACTGATCTGCACCTTCAACAATTCTTTCTCAGTCTGCATCAAGTTAAAGTTTCACGGACAGCGGAAGTGGCTTGAAGCTTCTCATATTGTAGAGTCATATATTCATAAGCAATTAGAACTTAGAAGTAGCTTTTGCACCACACTCAACCCCAATAAATAATATGATAAATATTCTCTCACAGTGTTCTTCAATCAAACTTGGGATTGTAAATGAAAAAGATCGCAAGAAGTGAAGTTTTAGGAATGAAAAAAATTCGGGGGTTAGTGGTTCATAGTATTCCTACCATTACTGTAAAACTTGAATTG